GCTACCATTCTGAGATTTGATAACGCGGTGTTGATAATTCTGTCAGTTTTCGCAAATAATTTCAGGGCCCTATCCTTTTTTTTGTATTTTTTAATTGGATCAATCTTGAGGTCCCTGAGAATGTCATTCGTTCTAATGTACAATGGTACTTTGACCTCAGTTCTGCTTACCTCCCCGATGAGCCTGTAACCATTCTGAGATTTGATAACGCGATGTTGGTAAGTCTGTCAGTTTTCGTAAATAATTTCAGGGCTCTATCCTTTATGTATTTTTTGATGGGATCAATCCTGAGAATGTCATTCGTCCAAATGTACCATGATACTTTGAAAAGTCTCCTCAGAGCCTGGCTTTGTGCAATTTCTAGCTGGCGGACAGAGTGTTTGAAGTTTTCATTTCATTATTCAATTTTATTTTATTGAAAAATAAATATGAAAATTATGTAAATCTTTGTGAAAACAAAGGTCTGACCTCAAATTAAAAGAAAACAAGCTGAGATAAAACCATATATTTTATATTTGCAGATAATTTTACTGCGTTGATGACAAAAAATGATTTGAGTTAATTTGTTTACTTATTGGATTAAAAATTTTGTTGGGGTATAGAAAAAAATAAATCATCTATCCCATATATTTGCCACCATCTACGATTTAATATTATTAAATATTCATGTCAGAACACCATTTCGAAAGATCATTCTATGGCGGTACACTTTGCCCACGGATTTTGCTGTCATTATCACTAGTAATGGCTTCTATTGAAGCCAGCATCTGTATATAACATTTTCACATATCTCTGAAAAAATATACACTTGATCGTAGATCTGTTCCACATACATTGATGGTGATATTGCAATATTCTTCATTTTTGAATAAGTACAACCCTATTATTCCAACATATCTCTCTACTAAACAGTATATTATTCACTATGCGAACTGATGTATCAGTTTTAATTTTTCTTTACAATTTTGAAGAAAACATAAATCGAAATATTCTTTTTTCAAAATAATAAAAATACAAATGTATATTTTATATTTTCAGGTTTTTATTTTTTATTCTTAATATATTTTAATGTTTATAGCAAATACAATTTTAAAACGAATTAGAATTTATATATATTGCATTAGTGGTCCATTCAAATATCAAAAAAATCTTAATCTTTAATCTTTCACAAATATCAAAAGTTAGTTATCAAATAATTTCCAAGAAATTCATTTCGTCTCACTTGCACTTATATACTAGTCTTGATTAAAGACGGACTTCTGAAAAGATTATTATTATATTTCTTTATTCGTTTTCTTACCAAACAATTACTAAAGCAGTAGTTCATAGAAACACTAGTCAATTTTGTGTAAAAATGACACCCCTCCTTCGTCAGACAAATTATTCAAATCATCTTCATGAAAACATTCATTATTATCCACCTCTTTAGTAAAAGTGAAGCGTTGAAAGAGGTCCACTCTATGTGACAAGACAGGAGTCTGGTCGGTATATAAAGAACGTTTAGGAAGGAAATCGGAACACCTGCCAGCGTTATTTGAAATAGAATCCCGAACAATATTCTTTGTGGCGTTTATTAAAAAATTCATGTCTTCAATTTTAATCTTTCACAACCAATATACAAATATATAATAATATATTAAAAACATTGTTATTATAAAAATAAATAATTATAAAAACAAAAAACATATTATGGCATATAGTTACATATATATACATATATATATATGCACATTGAAGTATGCATATACGTACATGTAATTAAAACTTTTTTGACCAAAATAAATGGATTCTAAAAATGCAATTAAAAAATTTTTGTCCAAACTATCCTCAATTGACAATACACTACTCGGATATCTCAAAACTATACTGCAGAGAAAGAGATACAATAATTTACAGTAGTTTATAATAATATTATCATAATAATTTATAATAATATTATCATATTAATTTATAATAATATAATTATTTTAATTTAACGTCCATCCACAAGTTTAAGATAAATCTACAAGCTTAAGACAACAGAACTATAGCATTTTATGGAAACATTCGACATATTTATATGCGTTTTTGCTAATTGAAATCAAGCAATATTAATATATATAAATACTTTTTAAAATTATCTCCAACATTTTTTGTTTGGGAATCAATTATGAAACTTTGTTTTTCGATGCTCCCTACATATTCAATACATATAAAACTAACAGTGAATAGGTCTCGGAATAGAGTTTCAGCTAGAAATGTACTTAAAAGGGTTTACAGATCAAAAACTAATAAAATTGTAGACCAATCTCATATATAATTTTTCGCTTTAAGGTTGAGCTGTTCATTCAGTTCAGCTACAGTATCCCAGTAATGTATAAGAATAACAAGGACACTCCATCCTAACACATCGAATTAAATTTTTTTTCGATGGAGTTTTTATTTTTATTTATAATATAAAATTATCTAACAACACTTACTACAGTTCTCTCGATCATTGGTGCATAGGAACTTATGGAGAAAAACTACGAATTCTATTTAAACCTCACTATAGAAATTATAGAAACCTGTAGGAAAAAAACCATGAAACATTTTGTCTGTCAATCGGACATTAGGACTCTAACGTTCAAAGTAAAGAGAAGTAGTTATTTGTCAGCTTATTAGACCCCGTAGAGACGAAAGAGCTATTGAGTTTTCTAAATACAACTGGATGGATTTAGTCTGTGCCCTTTTATTTTACGGTTTTTTGCAAAAAATGTGGTAGCAAAACGGCGATAAATCGCTATTCAAGGAAGATTATCTTCTAGAAGGATAATGGAAGGTTAATTGTTGGCCGACCACTGCAAACCACCAACCAACCAACCACTAACATCAGTTGTTGTGATTAGTAAAGAAATTGTAATCGTAAAGATTTGTTTCATTCTAAGCAAATTAGTTCCATCGATTTCAAATTGTTAGAGTAACCAGTCATAAGAAGTTACTTCATTATCAGAAAGCAAATTCTATCCATTTTAAAACATCGGTGTAAGTAATATCAATCAATGATATATTTTTTTATTTTTATTTTTTTACTCATTTACGCACTTCAATATTAAGATTTTTAAACTTAATTCGATTTCTCTAGATTTCACTAGAGACAATCAAATCGCTAGCTCATCGATTCAATTCGGAGGTGTGCTTAATCTCTCAAGTACCCCTTCTAGAATTGAGTTTCAATAGAAACTTAGGGAAATATCGATTAAATTTCTCAGTATATTTTTAAATTTTTCTTTTTAAGAATATATTAGTTGGTCTTTCCAAATATAAACTTTGAATATCTAAAGTGCAGTAACTAGTGTATATTGTGAATATTATATATATTCCATCAACGCAACACTTCCAAATAAAATACACACAACAAAAATGAAAGTTTCTGTTAAAACGAAGGTAAAGGATATATTAAATAACTTAAAACTATGTAAGGATACGCATCAGCAGGATAGATTCCGCGTGAAGATAACACAAGACTCCATTAAATATATATACAAAACCAAAAATATTACCAAAAAAAGGAAAGCGCGTTAGGGATAACTTCCTGTAGAGTGTAAAATATGATATTAATGGAAAAACAAAAAAAAAAAACAATAATCTCTTCATATATTTTTTTGCTTTCATACT